TGTTTTCAGAGTCAACCGGGCACTAATTGGTAATCAATTACCCTCGTTATTTCTTTACTCGTGTCATTGACTGTATATTGCAGTGTTGTGGGTTCAAGGACAGTTGTTCTATGCTATACGATGACCGATGTGCTGATTATGTACAGAAGCGCCGATATTCTACCCCACCCCCACTCCACCCCACCCCCACTCCACCCCACCCCTACCAATACATTTTCTTGATGGTTCCTAGATTCTGTATCAGACATTTCTAGCATTAAACTTGTTATAAACTGAGTAAGAAGTATTCTTTATGAAGTAATTAAACAAATAACCCTGAAATGTTAGCGATAGCGCATAATTATTTTTAAAAACTACATTAAAATGTGTTCTCCCGAGCCTTGAGCATAAAATTGACTTCTTTTCACCCGGTCATGAATTTAAGATATTGCATTGTCTCGTGGCATGATTGGACAGGAATACTGAATAGTCCTTTGAAAATGATTGGATTCATCATTTTCTGGGTAGAAACGCTGAGCGTGATGGCGCTCTGAAGGGTGATCTTGCTGATCTGCTGTCTCTACCGCCACAAGGGCCAGGAAGGGCAGGTGAAAGAGTACAGAACTTTGACATTCTTTCATCAATTTTCTTTTTGGCTTTGTTGATTTCAAAGGCCTTGCTATGGGCTTGATTTTGTTCTACCAGTAATTTCAACTCTCTTTGGATACGAACTTTAGACAAAGGGATATCTTGAGCCAAATCTCCCTTCCTACCGATGAGTCCCAAGGGCACTTCAATTTTTAACTCTCTCTCCCAGCGTTTCTTTGAAGCAAGAGCGTCGTCAAGGCGCCCCTTTCCGCTATCGATATAGTTATTGCGTAGGGTGTATTGGGCTTCTTTCAAATAACGAGCGCGTTCTTTCTCAATCTGCTCCGTAGAAATCCTCCGAGTCTGCTCCTCCGCTTTGTTTACTGGGGCAGTTTGCTGGGTGTCTTTTCGCTGCCCAAAAGAGGAAAAGGCAAATAATGCTATTGAATAAGGAAGAAGGGGACTTTTCTCCTCCTCGTTTTCTTTTGCTTCTTTGACATTATTCTTCGTTTCCTTTTTATCATCTGCCTTAGCAGCTTCAAGCTGCTGTCTTTTCACTTCCTCTTCCTGTTCTAGTCGCTTCCTCTCATCTTCTTCACGTTTCATTTTTGCCTTCATTTCTTGCTTGGCTTCTTTTTCTTTCTGGTAGATCTTTTTCCAGTTTATCACCGGTACAGTGTGCTCCGAGGAATCAAGACAGGCCTCGTCCAGGCACGTCAACTCAAGGTCGTCCTCAGGAATAATGAGCGGGCTTGAGGATCGGCTGGCATCCGGCAAATCCGGCGGATCACTGTTTGTATCACCAATCTCAGTGGAATTGTCCTGGCTGTGTTTTAAATTAGACATTAAGAATTTAGCGGTACTAAAAACACTCGGTAAGCGAACAGTAGGTGAATAACCCTGTTGTTTGTCTGGAGGTCCGAAAGCCTTTTCGTCTGTGACCGTATTGGAACTAGAATCGGGTCTTCTGGTAGCGTCTAAACTGAAACTAACAGCAACTTCTTTTGTAGTCAAATCCGGTGGCGGGAGCACCGTCGTTTTCGACTTTACATCAGTGTCATGATCAGTGAATACGTCTGACTTTTCACTGGAATTAATGTCCGATGACTTTTGATTCTTTTCTTCTGATTTCCCTCGTCCGATTTTCCGTCGCGGAGATGAGGGCGGTCTGGCCAGAGGACAGTGTCCCGAGGTCATTTGTATGGGTTTGAAGGTCATCTTGACGGACTCTATCTGATCTTTAGATCTGGCCAACATAAGCACCTTTCTACGAGCCATGTCATCCAGAAATTTCTGCAACCTGTGATCTTCTGCTATGTTGCGTTTCTGGACATAGATATCGTTTTTGGATTGAGTGTTCAACCTCCTTGTAAGCGGCATTTCTTAACAGTATTTTCTCCTCTCCAAAATTTAGTATACTTGAGCCATTACTTCTTATCCAAAATAACCTGCCAGTCTAAACTTGAAAACTGCGCCCCTTCAACTTCCTCTCCACACAGCGTTTAATGTGCTGCTGCCATCTTTGAACCGTAGAAAACTGCTTTAACGAACATGATGACACTTGACCAAAAAGAGCTCTCCAGTTCACGGACATATTCCTGGCTATTTCTCTCCATGCCTCTGTTTGCCATCAGATCTATGTCCTCTGTTGAACACAGGAGGCAATGACCGAAATTCAGTGCTAACACAACGTAACCATGAACGGGGGTCATTGATTTACTTCATCAAAATATCGTTCAGGGGACGGATATACAGACAAAAGAGATAAGTTGGTAACATTCCTTAAAAACACTCAAAAATACCGAAAGAAAATGTTCTTTTTGCACAATATTCATGTTAATCTTTAAACTTCAAGAATTCTCTCCTATATTTATGGTGAAGATTTTTTAAGTATTAAAGCAAAGTCGAAATGCAGCGCTCCCCTTAAATTCTAGTCGGACCAAAAGGTTGTTGATCGGTTTATTGACCGTCTTTTGTTAACAGGTATGGGAATTCAGAAATTAGTTATTGAACACAAACAAACAGGGTTGTGAAGTCACGCAGTGTATAAATGAAATGTTAACAAGTCCAACTTATCTTTGCTGCATGGAAACATACATGAAAAAAGCTCTATTGTATATCGGCATAAAAACAAAAATGAAATGCTAAGGTGTTATATCTATTTGATACTATTTGGAATAAATAAAAATCCTTTTCGTGGAGGTTGGAAATTGAGACTGCATGCACGGAAAAGGTCGTATATGGTAATCATAACAAAATTTCTTTAAAAAAACGGAGCTATTTATTTATTTAACAATGATCTGATAGATATTTCTTGGTTTAACAGGTACATCATTAACTACTCATAAAATATGCAGCACCAAGCTAAATCTCATTAATGTAACACAACACTAGTTATCATTAACTGATATGTTAAACGTAACGATTTGGTGTATGACGTAGCCATAGAAATGCCTATGATCGACAAACAGCGCACGAACCCACCCCAGACTAAACCGCCATCTCTGCCGATATCAATACCGCTTCTTTGTGGGCAATAATAACATTATAACATCACTAAACATATAAAGAATCTGGGAACCTGGATTGGATTACATATCAATACCTTTATATATATTTGAAATCTCCCTGCCTTATTGAATGCGAAGTCTGCACAAATATTTGCCGTTATGTTTTAATTGACCGTAAGATGTAAATGGAAATGCGTCATACCCCGGTACATATGTATATACTATGAGCTAGCATTTGATGCTTGTAAGGCAGCAACCTTGTTCAAACTATTATCATCTGTCTTTTTCTCCGAGGTAGATGACGGGGCAATATCATCTTTATTCTTATTTCCTCCACCAAAAGCATTGCTCAGACGGAACATTTCCATGATCATGGACACGCGCGACTGTAATCTACGCGACTGTTCCTTTTTAGCGATCTGTTTCACGTCCATTGTGTTTTCCGTCACCATTTGCTCCAGTTCACGTTTTCTTGCCGATTTTGATAGAGCCATGGGTTTAGTTTTCTTCTCAGCGCTTTCATTTGTACCGCAGTCCTTCATAAGTTTTGTTATGCGCCTCTGAAGACGAAAACCGCCTCCATTTTTCGTTGCGTCATTGTCTTCGTTTTCATCTGGCGTCTTCTCGTTTGTTAACACAGTCGTGTTTTGTGCAGAAGGCGTTTTAACATTCTGTCCTGACGTTTGCGCAGACTCCGTGGCTGAACCGCCCGACGTCGGCGTAGTTTGCGAAAATGCACTAAATGCTAAATGCTGAGCAAATTTTCTGGCAAAATAGTTCTGTAACACAGCGTTCCCTTCAGGTTTCGGGGAAGTAAACCACGAAAGTCCAGATTCTTTCCTCTGTATTTCAATCCAAAGTTTTTCCTCGCGCTCCGCACTCTTCTTGGCGAAACGTTTAGAAACCCCGTTGTAGTGGGCACGCACGTTGGCCAAGCGAACCTTGGGGTCGTCTGACATAATTGGAGTGTTTGTGCTGTTTTCTGAAACCTGCGGTTCACCACCCACCGTCCATTCCTTGCAAAATGTATTTTTGGCTATCCCCCATAACGATTTACCCGTCCTATGTTGCACGTCGGTTTGAGACGTCGGCGGAGCGGACTTGGGCCGTCTTGGTGACCGTGACCACGCCGACTGGGGACGAAATTCACCCGATGGCAAAAATGCGCTAAGGGGTCTGCGGAACGTCCTTTTAACTTTCACGGGTTTCGTCAACACAGCTGTGTAATTTTGTATTACATTTTTCTCCCATTCCGATATGGAGAATTTGTCTCTGTGCGTTTCTTCTTTAGAGCACACATTGTTAGCTGAAGGTGGGCGATCACGAGGCGAGGAAGACAGTTGTACATTTGGGCGAATCGCGTGAAAAACGTCGGTGCAACTGAGACTTTTGCGTCGATTTAAATAAGTATTGCGTACAGTCACTGGCTCTGAATTTATCACTGACGGGGCACGGTTGTCTTCATCATCCTCGTCGTTTTCTTCTTCTTCATCTATCGTATCTTTTGTTGCCTCGGATTTGTCATTCACTATGCTTTCTGTGGCAACGCTGGTGCTCTGTAGAAACTTACTCAACTCTTTTTCTTTAGTGTGCCATTTGTGCAAGCGACGCGCGCTGATCCGCGGTCCGAAACGAAAGTAATCCGACTTCGTGTGTGTCTTATCCTGGGCGCTATCTGGCGGGAGGCCCTCAGCGCTTCTTCCGGTCGTCTGCTTCATGGCGTTAATCCCGGACTCGATCTGTTTCATGTCTTTGGTCAGTTCCAGGGAGCTGTTGGTGGTGGATTTTTCCAGGACCTTCACTCGTTGCTCTAAGCGCACGTTTTCCATTCGGTTTCGACGGTTTACAACCATCAGCCGGTCCGGTTTTCTCCGCATCTCCACCTTGGGCGGCATGGCGGACACCGCAAGAAATTAACTGTGTGCCTTTTTCGTCAGGCTCTGCAGGTGCTTGTTGCGGCCATCGACGGATTGGACGCTGCAGCTAGAAATAAAATCAAAAGAGAAAGAGAATACTTAAACGCCTTGCAATCGTAATGAAATGAGAACACATTAACTCCGGCGAATTATTGCACTCACAGAAAACTTAACAGTGATTTTTAATACACCACCGCCCCCCCCCCACCCCCCGACAAAAACTATTACCTGTGAAAATTTCGTAACTAGATTTATACCAGTTATTAAAAAGATACACGCAAAAATGGCTGCAGATATAATTTAAATAATCGCATCAGACAACAACAGAAAAATAAATGTGAACACGTTTAGACAACAAAAAACATATACAAACAAGGACGTCCCGGTGCAAAAATTACAGCAAGTTAATTTCTTTTCCAATTAAATATCAGTGATCCAAGACTTCTGCCCACAGATTCAGTATAAATGTACTACATTTACAGTGGTCCTGTGGCACATTACACTGCGCTGATCCATAACGTGAGAATTACAGTTTCAATGGTGTGTTTATTAGAGGTACGACCCGGGGAAATACACAGGCAAAACTTACAATTCGAGACCTACTTGGTTGATGTATTTTCGATCTACGACATAAAATATATATACTTGGCATCTGCTTCTGAAACAATTTTGTTCCTTGTTTTTATCTTTTTTCTTTATCTAGACTTTTTTACTCATGTCGCCGAAATGCCTAACTTACTACTCCGTATCACACACAAATAATTCCCGGAATTTAGTTCCTTATTGTCGGGTTTATTTTTTTTTTCTTTCTGTTTTTTTTTTTTTTTTTTTTTTTTTTTTTTTTTTTTTTTTTTTTTTTTTTTTTTTTTTTTTTTTTTTGTTATTATCATTTTTTGTCATATATAAAATGTTTTAAAAGTTTATCTTGTTTTTAAAGCGATATACTGTAGACAGACAGAATGTAAGTATTTTTCCTAAAAGTAAGCATGCCTCAGTCCTTCTAGTTATCACAACAGTCCGTTAACATATCTCCTTATTCTGATCCGCCATCACGGTGTGTGTCCTAGCAGTGATCATTTTCATCAAGCAACATGCAAAATTTGCAGACATTTAACTTATCATGATAATGAATTATCTACACCAACAGATAGTAGCCACTGCCACTATCTATTCTCAACTAACATGGCGAATGGTATATAAATATCTTTCACTAGCCGACTACAATCTAGCCCAAGTTGTCTGAAATTGTGTTTTTACTATGAGAATGCCATCAAGAAACAAATAGCTTCTTACCTAGTCTGCTAACAGGTCTCTTTATGGTGCTCGGCTCTGGTTTGTTGTCCGGAAAGGTACTGGTGAGCTCAGTGTTTCCTCTAACTAACTCCATGTATTTTGGTGGGGCGTGACTGTTACCAGATAAAAGACATCCAGTGTTCACTTTTCATTTCACTTTGTTGGAACTTACTCCCGTCCACTTTAACCTCCAGAACGGTTCGTGGCATCACATCTGTAAAGAGTGAAACATTATCCTCAAAATTAAATATCTCGTAGGTTTTAACGTGTCAACTCGAAGTTAGGTACCCGGTTACCTGGCGCACTGACTAGGTTAGAGACTTCTCTGCTAAGTCAATCTGTGTAGTTGACTCCGTGTCCACAACAATGTAAATGTTTCATTACGTCGATATGGCTTCTAAATTAGAGTTTGTTGCGATGCACTGACGACAGCAGCAGTTGCTGTATAAGAAAGCCTCCCCAACCTTCCCCCGGGGAGTATTTGTTCAGCTCACTCTATTGATACTGAACCTCACGTCGTGTTTGCTGACAAGTAATGGCTGAAATCATGTCGATTTACAGAACAGTATTCTACTCCGTCCTAATGCTATTGTATTAACGGTCAATTGTTGTCAGAACGCGCTGAAATGTTATCCTCTTCTCGCTTAATTGTATGGCATTTTTTATATTTAATCGAGCTGTATCCCACCTTTTATCTTCCAATAGAATGGTCTAAATAAAAACCGGACTCTTACTAATGGAAGTTTCCAATATTACATTCCGTCTCAAATAAACGCATCGAACGCATAAAGAATGATATTGTATAACAATAATGAAATCGGTCGTAAATTGAGAATTGAGGAGTTGACATTGACTCTTGAAAACTGAATTAAGCACGATATCTTTATTACTTATACATCAGTCTTCCGCCCAGTTTTCATCAATACGCCTCCTGTGTGTATTTAAACTAGGTCTACATTAAACCGGAAATCGGCCCAAACTGCGTCATTGATCCACCCCACTGTCTCATTGTAATCTTCTCATCTGATGACTCCAGTGAACTTAATACCGGTCAAAGAGGTCCTGTCTGAACGTAGCTAATAGCAACGGACTTCACCGGCATTCAACTCAGTTTTAATGGAATTCGCAGCGGTATCATTTCCTCGAGCGACGTTGTATTATTAATTCAAGCCGTGGAGACAAGGGATGTCTTTTCTATTCTATCGCTAGTTGATTGCAATTTAACTTTATTCCAGGGTGGGAGTAATCGATCTCTCCTGCATTTTCTGTGGCGAGTTCACGAGTTTATCGCGCTAATTGGTAGCACGCTCTGTTATTTTTGCTTGGAGTTTCATTAACAATGTTGTCCCAGCTGCCTTTCAGATGCTGGACGTTTTCACAATGCTATTTTCTTTCTAAGGGCATTGGATTTCTAGGATTTTATTTTAACCCTTAACACCTTCCCTCTTACGGGTTTTATCCCATATCATTGATTTCAAAAGAAATCGACCAAAACACTAAGGGTGCTTAACAATGATTATACTATTATACCAAGAGAAAAGAAATTTCGATAGAATTTTATTCAAATGGACGCCTTGTTTTTTGAGTGAAACTTAGACATAAGTACTAAACAAGAACCATATCACCTCTTACCTTCATATCAACCTCTCTTCCTCCTTTCCACAACGCTCTCCACAGGGCATCTTCTAACGGGAAAAATATCCTAATATATTGGTAATAGCAGGGAATTAAATTCAATTAATGTAGATCGTTAAGGTAATCAGACTGATTAGCAGCACTTTTACTACTCCCCAATATCAATAAGGATAGGGGAGATGTGATATAACCCCAAGTCTTTCCCTTTGGGGAAGGTGTTCATGTCGTGAAAGCATGTTTGACGTGTTTGTTTGTGTATCCCTAATTGGTGCGAGCTGCTACACCCGGGGTAATGGACTGGAAATTATGAATATAAAAATATGATCGATATACGACCTTAGAAACATTGGAAGAAACCACGGCCCAGTTCTATAGATATTTAGGTGTGTGGTACCTTTTGGGACATACAGTTAAAACATATTAAAAGGTCTACTGATGTATGGAGGCTGAGCGGTATTCTTGCACCTGTCAGTCCAACTGAATTGTGTATCAGTTCACGTACTTGATTACCTTTCATCTCTGAATAATCAGAACTAATGTCGTTATCACTTGGTATTTACCTGCCTGTCCAGGTACGTGTTACGATGATTAATTCTGAACATTTACACTATAGGCACTTACACAGGGGCGGATTTAGGGGGTCTTCTGGGTCTTCCGGAAGACGGTCAGATTTTCAAGTTTACATTGACGGGTATCTAATTATTTCTGTCGGAAGACGGTCAGAAAAAGGAGGATGGATCAACAAAGATAATTTGGAAGACTGTCAGAAAATAACTCTGGATCCGCCCCTGCTTACACGTGTTAAGTTTCTCTTTAATAAACTCAATTTGGTAAACGACGTCAAGAGTAATGTCTCGGAGTGCAAAAAAATAATGAAAAAGAAAAGAAAAATAGCGACAAGGCCCCAAAAATAAAGGACAAAACGTCATTGTTGCCTGCGTAAATGGCGGGAATCCTTTTTTTAGATCACAGAAAAAAAATCACGCAATTAATGAAAACATCTGAGTCTATTTCAATCGAAATTCAATAATTCCTTGTGATGAATGCTTGAAAAAATATTATTTTGTGAAACACTTTTAATAAAAGTAATTGATATCATGATAACCTTGAAAGACGAGATGGGAAGAAGTTAAAATAGCAAAACGATAAAAGTAGAAGAATGAACAAAAAATAAAAGACAGCATGCGTTTCCAGTGACATCAGATTAATTACCATAATGCGATATGTGGCACACGGGTTTCTATTTTAACCGCAATACATACAAATGTTATCAATAAAAACTCTGTATTACATGTATCTTTTTTCTTAATAAAAGTGGCGTGTTTGATGGACGTACATCAAATCACGATTTAATAAAATAACATGATATACCACAGAAACACCTATCTTATTATCTGTTCTCGGTGTTACTTTTCATGTTTCTATAAGTTCTTGGTTCATAGAAAAACATAATACCGAGTTTATAAACGTAAGTATATATAATATAAATATAAGGTAAACTAGATTGCTATAGCAACGTTAATAAAACTGTCTGCATTATTGATGAGCATTGATTTTTAAAAATAGTTTTTATCATAATACATAATAAGGTTGAAATAGACCAACATTTACCTGTTTGTCGTCAAGGGCCAGCTCACAGACTATACTAATTATGATGTTTAGCTCCACATCTTACAGCAATTCTTTGGACAGTTCTAGCAAATATTGACCGGCGACAGCGAGAGCAATCATAGGTAATGGGTCGTCAACAGAAAATTACCAACTGGTTCTCTTTTTTAATTGGTACACACATAATTAAAAGGATATACTAAAAGATCACTTACAGCTTTTGTTTGTCAAAGGCATGCGAAAAACTTCACATTTTCCCTGTCCAAATATTTGACGGGAGCGTGTATGAATTTGAGAAAATTAAGTCTTCATTTGTTATTGCCACTGGTGCTTAGTTATTCAAAGGTCGCTTCCGGACCACGAGGACAACAAACATACAAGAGCTCCCCGAAGAAACAGTATTTTGCCAGGACAAATGATGTTAAGCATTACTGCCAAACCCAGAATAAAACTCTCGTTTCCTGTATTATGTGTTTTGCCGAAATGATGTTTACTTTTCTTCATCTATTCAATACAAAAATCAGGCGTTGATGCATTTCTGTTCCAAATTTCGGTAAATTTACTGCGTCAAACCTTTCATATGACCACTCGTTGCTTACATAATTCTTTTCGCTCAGGCAAAAGTAATTGAAAAGTTATTCAAACTTCTTATCACTACTGACTTAAAGGTTGAAAGGTGACGGCAAATTAATTTTTTTCGGCAGTATTGTGTGAGAAAGCAAACATAGAAAACCTTCATTTTTTACTGGCTACACATTCCAAGTGCAACTATTTCAATTATATAAATGTGCTATCAAATAGAACCCTGGACGACCCCCTTCTCCCAAAACAAAATAAATAAAAAATCTACATATCCAGTGTATTTTAACGTTACATATTTTGGGGTATTTAAACTATTAGGTTCAACTTTTAACAAATAAACTACAGTGATTAGAAACATGTGTGAAATTGAAAGTCGTCTGAATTTTACTGACCTAAGGTTTGAAATATCATTCATATACTTCTATAGCTAAAAGCCCTTTGTAAAGTATGCACACTCTTTAGATTGGAAAAGTTGCGGCAGTTGTCCCTATAAATTGTGGTATTTGCGTCAGGACCAAGATTGGACATTTCGCTGTCATCGCAAACACAATCCATGGGTAAGAAACTTAGAATTTGTTAAAATAATATTCCACAAGCAACAAGATTCGATGTTACCGTAAATGAAGGCATTTGTGCAAACCATTTGATACTTAACAGCCATCTTAAAAATTTCCAAAATCCTTTATCCTGGCAACTTTATCGAGAACATTTTCATTCATTCTCATGTTTACTTTTGACTGAATAAAAAAAAAAACACTCCTGAAACTTCCTCGTAATTTATGAACAGTTTATTCTTGTCACAGCTGTAAAAGAATGGGAACACAATGTACTGACACGGTCAGTAGAGAAAAGCTAGGTACTGCTAGGCCACCAAAATGGCTGCCGAGCTGTAACAGTAACACCGTCAATAGTTTTTACATCTGACTTCTCTACGCCCTTACGTCTGACAGTTAAGGGACCTTTAGCCTCATCAACTCTCATTAGTCCAAGTCCATACTGTCCAATAGCACTGCGAAATATCCCACATTCTTTTCCATTTGAATTAACTAAAACATCCTCTGCCTGCAAGTCAACAGGGCTTTGACTGGAAATAATTAAAATTGATTTTTGATATTCTTTTTTAAAAAGTAATGTCATGCATTTTTTTCAAAGTTTTTTTACTATAATTAACAATATTCATGCATTTGGAAAATTGGGGAAAAGAAAACATGTACTGTAGTGATAATTTGCAGATTACTACAATATTTTAGTGATCTATAAACAAATTTTAATTATAAAATTTCAAAACAAGTTCCTGACATTATTTTCAATGTCTTGTTACCTATCTATCAGAAGAGGCATGATTCTCTTTCTTATCACTCCTGTGTGGTGTGTTCTGGCAGTTAACTCTTGACCAATGTAACAGCCTTTGTCAAAAGTCACTAAAAGCAATCATTATATACAGTTACATACATGTACATAGTAAGAATAAAATCTGATGAAATGTTGTACAGATCAGAGATCCACTTCATGAGTTTTATTCCAGGTGAGGGTAACATTGCTTTTGTAGACAACTGTATTGGCATGGTTCCTTAGGATAAGATGTAGGCTGTGACCAAATAACCCAACTTTGATGACATCCCTCATATTGGTAGGTTAGGCATTATTTCTTAAATACTATATTTTGGTAAGGAAAATAAGATAATGTCCACTAATGAATAGCAAACACACACACACACACACACATGCTCGGACATACATGTGCAGACAGAGAGACAGACAGACACACACACACACATGTATGTGCATGTGCGTGCACACACACACACACACACACACACACACACGCAGACCAACCTCCATGTAGATATGCAGCATTACACTCCAGTGGCAGTGCTTTTCCTGGCGGATGATCCGTAGGTCCCTCTCCAATACCAAGACGGAGTCTCTTCATGTGGTAGGCAGAGGGGTTGTCTGCTTCCTTCACACCAGGAAGGTGAGCTGTTACTGAAGAACAGTGCAAGTAGAGGCAGGTGAATCCATTGCTGATTATGGTGCATTTTCTGACTAAGATTTTCACTGGTATTTTCAGCAACAAGTTGCACAAATAATCTTATTAATACCAAATATTACACAATATTAAAGAAATTGTTAATTTATTTTCAAATTGAATTCATTAACAAATATATCAGAAAATTCCATATGCATTTTTGCCTATCAAATGCTACATGACATATAGTATATTCTTACAATGATGAGATTGAAAATCAATTTAAGCTGATTTATTATCAAAGTCTTTTATTCCAAAAAAAAGACACATTCCAAGATTCACCATAAAGGAAAAAAATCACATAACTGACCATCATCAAAAGCTGGCAGCACTAGTCTGTAGCCCATGGCGGCTAGTCTGGGGTCTTTCTCAACGGCTACTAACGGTGCACCATCAGTGCCACCTATAGTAAGCTCAGCGTCAAAGGGTCCATCTTCAATGGGAAATACTGCCATTACTTTCAGTTCGTCTGTTACAGCAATTTCAACCTGTAGAATAAAATGGATAACCTGTAAGTTTTTCAAAAATAAAAAAAAACTATATTGGTATTTTATACCCCAGAATCAACAACTATGACCAATTACACATGTACTGTGATCAATGCTTTTCCAATTTTCACTCAACTATGATGATCAGTTATCTTTGTTTACAGGTTTAATCATTCAGTTAATAAGCCATGTATATGTACCACCATAACATGAAATTTCAGCTTTTTAAAAACTGAAACACTGCAACTATGACCTGTAGCTGGCAATCCTAAAGGGGGTATTTTTTTGTAAAAGCTGTCCTTTTCACCCCCCCACCCCCCCTCCACCCCCGTCTGCCGACCTGCTAAATATACTTCATAAATAGGATCAACTCACCTTCTTTCTAAGGCGGTATTTTTTCATGGTAGTGTGTACTTCGTCCACCAGCTCTGTGTCCACCTCCAGCAGGTAGATATGTGTATCAGGGGCTTTACTGATATTGTACACAAACATGTCACACACCACACGACCCTGTAAATACATGTGTAGAAATAACTTCAATGTAATCACATTGTATACAAATATATTACTTATATATATAATATAGATGTGTGTATTAGGGGCCTTGCGGATGTTGTAGACAAACACACACCACCTGAAATACATACAAATCAGGGGCGGATGGAAGCCGTCTTCTGGGTCTTCCGTAAGACAGTCAGAATTTCTCAATTTTATAGTGACGGATATTGAATTTTTTCTGTTGGAAGACGGTCAGAAATGATAAAAAGATAATGAGAAAGATTTTCAGAAAACACCTCTGGGTCCGCCCCTGCAAATAACTTGTACTTTGTGATCTATCCCAACTGACCTTGCATACTAACATATATTGCTGCATGTCCATAATTACACTGTGTAATGTAAGAATAAAACAAATAAGTAAAATTATCCCATGGTCTGCAATGGTATACATGTGTGTTTGGTCATATTTAACATGCATAAAATATTTCATATATAAATCAATTATCTGATATGAAATAAATCTTTTAAAGTATTTTAACTGGAATAAATAATTTTTTTTAGTTTTTATACTACTTTTCCTTTTCAATGACCACAATCCTTTTTTAAACTTTTTTAGCCCAATTGTGTAATTGAGAAAACCCAAATATTGGTACATGTTTGCATTAGCCAAGTTAAACAACTGACGATACTTCTTTTCACTGAAGAACTTAGGTGAAATACACATAACCAGACCTGTAGCTGGGAGAGGGGGAGAGTTTGGAGGGTTCGAAAGAACATCCCTTTTTGCCATGAAAAGGTCCCTTCTGGGTAAAATTTTATGAAGGTACATGAATGTTTCATGTTTTATGTAGAGAAACACTTAACTGTCAATGTACTTACCTTCACATTCAACAGGAAAGCATACAGTGCCATCTTATGACAGTCCAACTCTCTCTGAAGGCAGTTCATATCATTAGTGATGAGTCCCTGAAGAAACTGTGTCGAGTCTGGGCCAGCAAAGCGGATCAACCCGCGATGTCCCAGCTGCTGATATCTAAGACCTGCAGAAACATCTGTCTGTTTCTTTGACTGCTCTGCAAGAGTCCTTTTGTGACAAAAAGCTGATCTTTGTGAGCTTGACACCAAAAGCCTTGTCTTAACATTATAGAGGGTGTACTGTCTTGTTAACACTGGTGCCAGAGATAAGTGTTTACATAAAGTCGAAGCCATTCTTTGGAGTTGTTTTCCTACCAGCATCTTAATATTCCAAATGTTCCTTTTTAAAGAGTATTTTTCTTCCAAGAATTATTCAGATTCCATATTACCTGAAAGGACATGAATGTAAATATATATACACTGGGGAATGCAAGTCAATACAGTAGCAAAAGAATAATAAAGAAAAAAGAAATAAAAACAATAAAGCACTTATGTATAGCACAAATAGTGCATATCAGAGACAAGCAATAAGAGTAATGCATGAACTTTTATGCTGCATATAGCTCTAAAAGTCCCACTTAGCTTGTCACCTGGATCAGTTCAAGAATCTAAAAATCTAAAATATCATAAAATGACTTTAAAATACCCAAATAATACACCATAATGTAAAAAAAGGAATGTTCACAATTCACTGAGTAATTTTTCAACAAATCTAATTAAATAGCCATAGGTATTGTGCACCCACTATACCGGGGTAGCTATTATCTACAAACGTAACTTATGGTATTCTGAAACCGTTTGCATTATCTTCATTGCACATACATTCCTCGATCAGTTTATATAGGTTAATTATGGAGTGACATCACGTTCAACAGATCTCCTTCCTACACCTGTACAGCTGACGTCACACGCAAGCACATACACACACACACACACACACACACACACATATATATACACACACACATGCAAGTACAAAACGTCAGAATTAGGCCTAAGTCCAAAGCCTCTAATTTTTTTTTCGCGATTGACCTTCAAGTATGAAAATTCTTTTTAAATTTTAATAACGTATAAAAATAGAGTGTATGCGATCTTAATTTCGAATAAAAACATGTTTGCAACTAATCAAAACATACCACGGCTTGGATTTTTTGTTTTGGTTTGTGTCATTGCTGAGGCAAGACGATAATGGGCGCCGCCATGTTGGACAGATTATTGCATTACAAGTCATGAGACAGTCATGTGACTTATCATATGATGTAAATAACGAAAGTGGCGAAGTTCAGGAAGTGCCGTTGGACTTACTCCATAAAAAGCATTTTTATGTACCATTTATGTAAATATTGAATCATATCATGTCATAACGATGGAAGGAGAAAGTAAAGAGCACTTGGTGGACGTGACGAGGAACATCAATGGGGAAACGGTATCGTGGGGGGCTCCCGAAATCCAAGCTGAAGACAAAGCAGAATATCCGTCTGCGGGACATGTTAGTTCACATGCTGTAGTCCCCTAGTACCCAAGTACCCTACTAACCCCGGTCATTTGATGAAAAACGTTTTTTTTTTTAATCAAGAGACTTCCTGATGTGTTTCTTTTGCACTTTGTGATCTTGTCATTGCTTTTAATGTTGTTGAATTATTAACTTATTATTATCTCAATTGAACGCTATATATGCTGACCTGTACTATCCATAAATTATAAAATACATTATGCATATATCTGTAATTTTAAATAGACATTTTTATTTTATGGTATCTATTAAAAAGGAGAAGAAACACTTAGAAATGGAGCTTGACCTTTTCCAACAAGCAATTAATTTATTTTGGATATGTTATAAATTAAGCCAACTGGTACAATATGTATCTCAAACAGGAGTGATTTCCAAACTTTACAAATTTACTGCAGTCGTGCAATATTTTACTTTAAATTAACGTGAAAATTCATGCGTTAGCACTGCTATTAACGGTTCTTGAGCACAGCCAGTGTACAGTATATTAGAACCATCAACAGGCACGTGTGGTAATGCATGAATTTTTGTGCTAATTTTAATTTGAGTCTTAATATATATTTGTGTTACTGTGTATAAAGTTACAGTCAATTGACATATACATTTACTAGAACTGTGAACTGTGCCAGTGAGTTACATGTACAATGTAAGTCTCCTCTGTCCTCAGGCACACCATGGACTGACAGTGATCACAGCATGCTTGTTCATAGCTGGAGAAATGGCAGGGAGTGGTGTGCTGGCACTGCCAAGGGCAGTAGAGAATTCTGGTGGGTATATATACATGTATGGTGTTATAGTAGAAATGGCAGGGAGTGGTGTGCTGGCACTGCCAAGGGCAGTAGAGAATTCTGGTGAGTATATACATGTATGGTGTTATAGTAGAAATGGTGGGGAGTGGTGTGCTGGCACTGCCAAGGGCAGTAGAGAATTCTGGTGAGTATATACATATATGGTGTTATATAGTAGAAATGGCAGGGAGTGGTGTGCTGGCACTGCCAAGGGTGGTAGAGAATTCAGGTGAGTATATATACATGTATGGTGTTATAGTAGAAATGGCAGGGAGTGGTGTCCTGGCACTGCCAAGGGCAGTAGAGAATTCTGGTGAGTATATACATGTATGGTGTTATAGTAGAAATGGTGGGGAGTGGTGTGCTGGCACTGCCAAGGGCAGTAGAGAATTCTGGTGAGTATATACATATATGGTGTTATATAGTAGAAATGGCAGGGAGTGGTGTGCTGGCACTGCCAAGGGTGGTAGAGAATTCAGGTGAGTATATATACATGTATGGTGTTATAGTAGAAATGGCAGGGAGTGGTGTCCTGGCACTGCCAAGGGCAGTAGAGAATTCTGGTGAGTATATACAT